CAAGGCTAAGAATATTATGGAGTCTGACCGCTTACGCAAGGCCGCTATCGAGAACGCACGGACTCGCTTCATCGCTGAAATCGAGGCTTTAAGGAAAGAGGTAAATCAGTCATTTCCATCCGGCCGTCTCCCAGTCACTGATTCAGTTAATTTATCTCAGTTGGAAAACGCCGCAAAGCCAACTACTTCTGAAGAATCTCTCAAATCCACCTCTGCAACGAAGGCTGCTGAAGCCAAAGCTTCCGCTCCTACTACCCCTACTCCTGCTCCTCAGGCTCAACCCATCGACCCCGTCCGTCGTTCTCGCGAACGCGCTGCCCGGACTATCCAACGTCGCTGGCGTTCTCGCTCTGCCGACCGCGCTGCCCAAAAGGATGCTATCAACACCATCTGGACCCTCCGCTCTCGCTTCGAGTTCCTAAAGACCTCATTTGTCCCGCCTCAACATCTCGAATTCCGTGATACTTCCTCCACTTCCACCGAAGGCGGATCGGAAACACCCGCTCTTTCATTCAACTCCGCCAATGCATCTGTCCATGCCTACATTAATGAGCTGATGAAGCTTGTGATGCTCGCGGATGGTGTTCCTAGTGCAGGAAGTGATCAAATTAGGGCGATTAGAAAGGCATTTGTGAAGATGGTGGAGGAGGCGTTGGATGATGTTGATAGGATGGTTAGGGCGGCTTGGGAGAAGATGCATCCGGAGGTCTCGCAGCAAGGTTCGATCAAGATTCCGGTTGCGGAGAAAACCGAGACGAACCCTGAAGCTGCTGCAGCGACAGAAACTCCCGTTGCCGAACCCAAAGCTGAAGATGACTATGAAGACCTTTATGTTCCTTATGCCAGTGTGCCGGTTGCTCAGGCTCCCGTCGAGTCTGTCCCGGAAGCCAGCGCGGAGGTCACTGTTGAACCTACTATCACTGCAACAGAATCTCATCCCACTGACCAATCTAAAGAACTAGAAGTTGAAACACAGAATATCGCCGATGTCGTCGATTCTCCTTCCTCGGAACCCGTAGTTCATCTACACTCTCCCGCTTCCGAGGCTGCGCCCATCTCTATACCGATTGTATCACCGGCCGAGGAATCACAGCCCATGACCACCGAAGGGTCTTCTGCCGCTGCTCCTGTACTGGTCGATGTTGAGGTCGAGGAAACGAAGGATATCGAGGCTGCGCCCATCTCTATACCGATTGTATCACCGGCCGAGGAATCACAGCCCACGACCACCGAAGAGTCTTCTGCCGCTGCTTCTGTACCGGTCGACGTTGATGTCGAGGAAACGAAGGATATCAATGAAGAGACATCAACTTTGGCGCCTGTGGACGAAGATTCTGTCCCTGTCGAACCCTCGGTTCATGGAACTGCTGAACCTGCAGTTATCGAACCACTAAACTCTATCACCGCGATTGAATCCGAACTCGTCCTTCCATCGACCCTGACAGAAGAGTCTACCATGACGGCCACCACTCCTTCTACACCCGCCTCCGTGCCTGTCGACTTGAACGTATCCTCGACTCAGGTTCTATCAGTCCCCGAATCCACCATCCCAGCTCGCGGCCCCTCTCCAACAACAGACTCCTTCGACATGGTTTATCCCGACTCCCCGCGTTTGAATTCGTCGCAAACCGACCACGAGGCTTTCGAGTCGTCTGTACCCGCACAGACACAGGTCCCTGAGACGGCTACAACGGAAGCTGACGACGCCTCGAGTGTCGCATCTGGTACTCCGAGCTTGGAGGGGTTTGAGATGTTATAAATGGGCTTGGGAAATGGGCTACATATTAGCAAAAGGGATCCGGCCTCTTCGCATTCGATCACGAAATTCCGCATACGCATTCCATAAAATATACTTATGCAATCCATTTTATAAAGAACTTGTATTTCTAGAATAACTTATTAGTACTTATCATTCGCAATAATAATTGGTTTTCTTCTGTATACATAACTGAGTGATAAATATGAGTGAAAACATGAGATCAGGTCAGAATGTAGAATGAGCACTGACGCAGACGCTTGGTGGCGACTGATTCTCGTCCTACATAGATACTTACTATAATGGAGAGGGAATTAAGACTCGAGAAACTCGATCGGATTTAAATATAATATCAATACCTTTGGGCTCAAGGCTGTGCCACTAGTGACTCGCTCTGGGCTGCGAGATCATGCGCATAAATGAAACACTGCATAGAAATTAGCATCAGCAGTCGTGTAGTGTAATGGCATACATAATGAATTGGAATTATCATATCTCCTGGTTCGAATCCGGGCATGACCAGATGTCTTTTTATTTCGGCATTGTTCGTGTGTCCGTCCGTTGACTTGACGAGGCCGTTGACTGGGGCTCGGGGGCACCTTGGCATTGGTGACAGGTTGATAGCGGCTTACTTCTTAATATATTTTGTTTGGATTTAATTACTTCGGTTCATAATGAATTCCAGCCTTGCGCATACGTTTGGTAGGAGGACGGGTGGAATGATTGGTGCCCAAGCGGCGTCCACCGCTATTGGTGGAGCTAAATTAGTCACGTGTAATTCACGTGAGCGTGTTAGGCCCTCGAAACCAAGAACTTCACGACTCCGAGTCCTTTCCTGCAGTTTCCTGCCTATCTTCTCTCTCCGCTCAAACATAGACGCATGGCACGCATGTTCTAATGCAACAAACACAAGATTTACAATCTGACAGGAATTAAATTTATATATCCATATGGCCATCTGTCTACGTAGTAACATTACTAAAATGTTAAGTTTGGTAAACTTTGCAGTGCGCAGCGGCAGCACTGTCAGATGCCATTCACTAGTCATATTGATAACCGGTGAGAAATTGCATTACCTTTAGTGCTCAATACAGAATAACCATGTTCATGTGACTTTATTCGATCTCTAAGAATATTGGTCCATGCGCAGAGACCGCAGCGTCAGCGCTCGACATACCAGATACTTACCAGTAGAAGAAGTACGCCGCGATAACGTGCAGTACACGGCCGCAGCTCTGGAAAGACCCCGGACTTGGACAAGTGCCGCAGTCGAAGTCTTCTTGACAGACAGTGCCAGACTGACAGGTGTCTCTTCAAACGTAAACGAACCTCCACAGCAGTCCAAATAAAGTTATCTTGCTCCTGAGGCTACGAGTAAGTTTTTGGCTTTTCTATTCTTAGTCGGATCTGTCTAAATCCTTATTGCAGATTGCAGATTAAGTCGGCAGACGGTGGTGGCATGATGTCAATGAATGCCTTCTACAGCTTGGTGCCAGACCTTGCAGTGCACGTAGGTTATTTCTAGCCATACCTGATTATTCCAGGGCACTTTATCTTCAAGACTTTTGGCGAGGAATAATTGTCCACTATTGTACCTAGGGTCACAAGTTGATCATGAAATTCTTTGTAAATGCCTGCCCATATCATTTATCGAACTGCGGTCCATTCAACTTACGTGGCCCTGACGACGCTCTAAGGATCCCCAAGAGTCCAAATTCTCAGCATCCCCAAGATACTCGCTAAGGTGCCCGGAGGATGCTAGCACCGACTTACACCGACTTGCACCCTACCATTCACTTGAAGACAGAACACGTTTTCGTGCTGAAACTGACGCTGGAGGTCGCATGGATTGACATTTGCGGGAGGTATTGCCTTCTAAACTTCGTGTTGGGTTCGTGCGCTTCGCCGTTGATCCTGCCAATCGTCCAAAAACGAGCATGCTAGTACCTTAATGTGCCCATCACTACGCATGCTTGTCTATGCTTAGTTCCTTTGTCCCAATTTATCGTCCAATATCGCTGGTCTGACGAAGTACCAGCGAGCCCGGTGGAAACACGTTTATCGCTTACATTGGGGTCCATTTCTCTTCTCAGCCATCGGTAAGGCTCGCGCGACCTTGTGCGAAGGCGGATGTGATATTTTGAGAACCATCCACTCCGCACCGGCAAGCAAGGGAGATTATTCTTTTACTATAACAGGAAATGTCAGAAGCTCGATTCGTTCAGGGAGCAACAAACTTGCTATCCGGACCTTGCCCCTTCTTCCCGATAACCAAGGTCCAAGTGCATGGACTGTCTTCAAGTGCTGAAAAGATTCCAACTGGCTCTTGAAGTTTAAACGGCGATGAACCTGCTCAATTTGTCATCCATGACGCGTTGAACACATCCTCGTCCTTGGCAAGCTTGACGTTTGTCAATTCACCGGAGCAAAACCCATTGGAAGGTCAGAGCAACCACTGCCTACTATAGTAATTGTGTAATCTATTGAATATGGTATTTATATCTCGTAGTTAGGTAGGCTTACCATTCCGGGCTTGAATGCGGGTTTGGAACCGCTGGAACTCGCAAAAATAATCGCCGAAATACTATCAAAAACTTATCGAAAAAGTCCCTCTCTCCACGTGACTGCCCCCGTACATATGAGACTGTAAGTAGCGGTCCTAGGACTCTCTACCAGTCCTGGATATCCCCACCCCGAGTCCATCGTGGCCTTTGTCAGCTGTCGACGCTGTCGACGACAATGGCGACTAGCATCGACATGCCAGAGCGTAAGCTGCGTCGCGCGAGCAACGTCCTTGGGAGCGACGGGCGACCCAACACCGACGTTCTGTTCGATTCGCATACGAGACACCGCAGACGGGCGAGTGAAAACCACATAGGCACCGCACTCAGACAGTCGATTGTATCCTTCAAGAACAACATTAAGAGCAACTTTAGTTTGCCTCGTGGCCTAATAAGGTCCAAGACAACGACCACCAGGGCCGAGGCGCTTGCTCCAGTATCTCCATCTCACCCACAACACCGTCGCGCAAACTCGGAACGATATACAAGTAGCTCCAGAACACCCCATTCTCTAAACATGCCGCCTATACAGAATATTACGAACGATCTGCCTGCTCAGGGAGCAATCGCGCCAACTGTCGAGGCACCTCAACCTACTACTAGTGGCGAGACGCAGACTGTTGACAAGGGGAAGGGTAAGGAGAAGGAGCATACACCACCTCCAAACATCTTTATTCCTGAACAAACCACATCGTCGACGACAGAGGAAGTCAAGGTCCCAGCACTTCTTCTACAGGGAGTCCCACTTCTCAAAGTATCGGCCAAGAAATCACAGTTGCGGCTATTCACACTCGACCCGGACCAAGGCCAGATCCGATTTCCTTCAAAGAAGACGGGTGTTAGTGAGTCTATCATCCGATTCTAACTCTTAATGTTGTGTCTAACTATGCCATGCAGTCAACATCGAGTGTATCAAAGAAATCCGTACTGGCGCCGATATCCGGCCGTACCTCCAGCAGTTCAAGATAGCCCCGGAGGCTGAACGACGATGGATTACGATCATTTATATGGCCGACCAGTACAAACAGCTACACGTAGTCGCCCCATCGGAGACCATCTTCCGCATGTGGAATGATACAGTGCGGAAGTTGTGGGGCCTGCGTCAGGAATTGATGAGTGCCGGCGTCGGCGGACGGCTTCAAGGCCTTGAAGGTGTGGAGATGAGGGAAAAAGCATGGGAGAAATTGTACTGGAAGGGTGCAGATCAAAGTGGTGAACAGCAGCTGGATTGGCAGGAAGTCAAGAAATTGTGCTTGCGGTTGAACGTACATGCGCCTGTGGAGGACCTCAAGCAGAAGTTCACTGTATGCTTTCTCTTTATTCCTATTGAACTATCTAATCACGTTATCCATAGCAAGCCGACGTCAATAAGCGTGGATATCTCGACTTTGATGACTTCCGTCGCTTTGTGAAGCTGCTGAAGGCGCGACCCGAGCTCAAGAGGCTGTACAATACGGTCCGAGCCGGCGGCGAATTCGACTGCGAGAAGTTCAAGAAATTCATGCGGGAAATTCAGCAGGTACGCAAGGTACTTTATTCATAAACCTTTTCGCTAACATTTAGTCGCAGTCAACCCTTTCTGACGCCGAACTCGAGGAAGTATTCCACCGCTTCGCACTCATCCCCGCTCAGTCACCCGCTTTCAAGCCCATATCTCTGCCAGATACATCTGCTACCGGATCCATAGAGAGCCCTGCATCCTTGCCAATTTCTTCGTCTTCAGACGGGCCTCTGATTCTATCTGACGGCGGTTCTACCTCATCACCATTGCTATCTTTCGATACCCCTCTAGCCTGCGTCGCCTCTCCAGAACCCATCAGCCAATCTCCACCATCTCAAGGTCTGTCGCCCAGTAGGTTCCGATCTATGAGTAGCGCCGCTTCTCCTTCCGGACCCACACTCTCCCTGGATGCCTTTACCGCCTTCTTGCTCTCCGCGGAGAATGCGCCGTTCAAGGATGAAGCGCAGGACATGTCAAGGCCATTATCAGAATATTACATCTCATCTTCACACAACACTTACCTTGTGGGCCATCAATTGGTAGGCATCAGTACGACAGAGGGCTATATCCGCGCTCTCTTGCAAGGATGCCGCAGTGTGGAAGGTACGTACTTGTTCTTTGATATTCTGCTCTTTTTTGACAGTATATGCGTTCCACAGTGGATGTCTATGATGGCGACACCGAACCGCAAATCTTTCACGGCAAGACCTTGACGAGCAAGGTCTCTCTCCGCGAAGTCTGCCAAGCCATCGCCAAATACGCTTTCATAGTCTCTCCTTACCCCATCGTAATTTCCGCCGAGATTCACTGTGGTATAGTGCAACAAGGGATGGTGGCCGGGATAATGAAAGAGGTGTTTGGCGATGCCCTTGTTCAAGGACCGGTGGACGGCAAAGAAGTCGGCGATGGAAAAGAATTGGACGCATTACCGAGCCCTGAAGATCTCAAGGGACGAGTCATGCTGAAGACGAAGAATCTGAATCTTGTTGTGGATAAGTCTGGGACTGAGAAGGAGAGCCCACAGTCGATGTATGATACGGATTCGACGACGACGACGACGACGACGAGTGACTCAGAGGTGTCCAGAGCTGAACAGGTTTTGAAAGGTATAGTCCTTTATATGCTTATCTGAAATAATACGTTGCTTACCGCTTCTACTCTTTCAATAGAAGAACGGCAGCAGCTGAAAGGTTCGTACGTTTATTCTAATGAAGATAACAGTTTAGATTAACCATGTACCGATAGCTGAATTTGAAGAGGGTATTAGCAAAGCCCGCAATATCTTCAATCGCGCTCGTGGGCTTCCACCATCTCCCAATCTCAAAGCGAAACAACTCCAACCCGAACGTCCTAAGATCAAGATGTCAGAAGCCCTTGCCGCTCTCCTGGTCTACACAGTCGGTGTCAAGTGTCGTGGTATCAACAAGAAAGAACACTACGCCGTGGAGCATCTTTTCTCT